CTGCTCTGACGTGTAAGATGTTCTTATTGATTTTAAAATCTCTATATTTTTAGGTAAATCTTTCACTCATTTTTTTTCTCGGTTTCTTGGCAGATGTTGATGCAGTGATCGTGTTGACCCAAACACCTGCTGTCCACACAGTTTCTTCAGGTCAACAAGCTGTTCTCAGCTGCAACATAGAGAGATATGATGGGAATTATGTTAACTGGTATAAACAAGTTCCTGGAGGGGTTCCTCAGAAAGTTTTCACTATTCTGGCAGCTCACTTGAATTTGGAACAGGATTCTCCTCTGACGGATTCAACTCTAAATCCTCGTCAAACATTGATTCCTAGTTCATAATTAATCAGGCAGAGACGGGAGACTCACAGTCTATTACTGTAAGACATGGGACAGCTCTGCTAACAGTGGAGTATCACAGGGATTCACACTGTGACAAAACCTCCACACTGATACTTCTGCTTTTTAAGACTCTTTCACAACCTGGTAAAAGACACCTCTAACAAACAAACCTTCAAATAGTGTGTTATTTGTTTGTTCATTTTTTAAAAAATATTTATCATTGAAATCATGAACAAAGCAAACTGGGGAAAATCCATATTCATCCATCCATCCATTCGCTTTCGCTTATCCTTTTCAGGGTCGCGGGGGGTGCTGGAGCCTATCCCAGCTGTCAGTCAATAACTACTCATATGCAAAATCATATACAAAAAGCAGACCTACATTGTATGCATGTACGTATAAGTAATATAAATTTAGACACCAGACTCAACTCTTAAATAGTTATAAACATAGATTCAGCATCATTAAATGTAAGAAAAGAAGAAAATGTGTGATGTGTGACGATAAGGACATTTGCATTTGAACTAAAATTGTTCAAGGAACTGCCTGTAATGATTCAAGTCTCTGATGGAGCTCCTCAGCATGTAGAGAGTTTTTAAATGAGGACAATTCACTTTACTTTGTAACAGGATCCTCCTCAGACTGACTAAATTCTACATCTTCATTAGACATGGATTTAGAGTTAAAAGGAGGACGGTAAGCATTGTACTGCACTGAAACATAGACTCTATTGAGTAGAACATAACACAATCATGAATACTGAGACAAAAAACAAACAAAACACAACTGAGTGACACTACAGCTTTTATGAATTCTGAAGAGTTAACATTTCCAACCATTAATTGTAGAACAAAACAAATGAATACAAAAATGAATTTGAGTGTCTAAAACCAAAATGTTTTGGTAAATGCAAATTAGTCAGTCCTCTAATTGTTGTGTTTAACTCTCAAGATGTAGATGAGCGACACTGGTATTTGTTTTTGTGAATCAGGGGAAGTATATCAAAACGCCTGTATCACAGTGATTTCATTTGTGAGAAATACCACAAAACTCATGTGGCTCAAGTTTGAAACAAAAAAGGAGCCCACACAGTTCTAGTACTAAAATTATTCTCTTTTTTTGAACTCTTTATTCAGTTGTTTAATGTTCATAAATGGCGTAACATTTTATCAAATGTTCTCCTAATCCTAAACACTCCAGTTTCATGTGAATTTCCAGAGAAGTTCATACATTTCAAGGTTGTTGATTATGTAATTATAACAGGTAACTGTAAGGGTTAGCGGGATTCTGATCTTCTTTTTTT